ACTAAATTCCTGAACTTAGTGAGAATTGTAGTGTCATTAACACAAGTATAAAATGTATTGGGGAAAATGCCAAAAAAACAGAACACTAAAAACCATATATACTTCTAATAATGGATAACTTTTTTATTGGTTTAATTCTTCTGGATTTCATAGCTGCAGCTCTACAGTGTGTTCAGTATGTCTAGTCTCTTTTCACTATAACCAACAGAAGCACCATACAAAAGTCTTACAATGGATGTCTTAATCTCTCTGTGTGCTTTTAGAGCATTATTTTGAATTCCATCATGCAGCCTTTTTTCCTTCCTCTTCTGAAGTTTTATTACAACAACAGAATTCCCAGGGAGCTTTAGGAGCAAGGGCCGCATAATATTGCCCTAACATTTCACTGCAGGGAGAGAAAATGGATCCTAGCTCCGATCATCTTTTTGTGACGTTTCTCTTTCAGAAAGATTATGCAATGAGGTCTTACTATGTTATGAAATGTATTCAGGTTTTGGGAAGTCAGTTATTATTATTATTTACCACATTGTTGACACCTACAAACCTTTCATGATGATTTCTTTCTTTGACCTCTCAGTGACTAGGCATCTTGTTCTTTAACACCAAAGGAGACAGAAAAAATGCTTTAGTTGCTCAATGAGCGCCTTCTAGGCCAGTTTCAAAATGGCTTATTCTTCTGGTTTCCATGGAGACAATTAATGCTGTTTCAAGGCATTGTTCCAGTCTCTATTTGGACAGAATTTTGGGGTGTGATTTTTCACACACACACACACACACACAGAGAGAGAGAGAGAGAGAGAGAGAGAGAGAGAGAGAGAGAGAGAGAGAGAGAGTGAGTGAGTGAGTGAGTATTGGGAGGGAGCAGAAAACTTCAGGAAACAGGCATCACAAGTTTCTCAAGATACTCTATTTACATAGTAAATTTCCGTGAAATGACCTTTAAAACTTTTTTAAAAGATATGTATGACAATATATCATTAAATAAAGGTTTTTTTAAAAAAAAACACCAAATATTTTAGGGAATGAAAAGGCAGGTGTAGAAGAGAAGACACAACAATCCTTAACTTAATTTTTTTTCCTGTTACATAGCTTTTAAATATAAACTACCTCCTTGTGCATAAGCACATGCAATACACTGTAACCTATTTATTGGAAGGATTTTTTGTGAGGCAGGTGAAATAGAAAATGAAATATTAATCATTTTATTTATTGCAGCTATTGTTGGAAAGAATGAGAGGAGAGAAGGTAGTAGAAATGCTGTGACTTTTAAATTTCTTAATCTCATTTTTGGCTATTGAAGAGTAATCTGTATCATAACATTTGCAGTCTGTCACAATGGAGTTGCCTTTGCTCACTTAATGCTGAGGGTAGAATGAATATGAAGATTAAATTATCTTCTCACCACAGGATAAAGAAGCCCTACTAGACCAGGGTTGTGCAGCACTGATAGAGCTGGGTAGCTAATTTTGCCTGAGAGTGGAGGTGTTTGATGGGTAAAAAAAAAAAAAGCATTAGCAGTACCATGTAGTGCTATCAGAATCTCAGCTCAGCAGTGCAGTAAGCACTTTTCTCATATCGAATAAATAACTTCACTTTAATTTCTATATCTCAAAACAATACTGACTGTTCTTCCCATAACCAATACATCTTGCAATTAAATGGATTTTTGCAGCTTTTCCAGCTAGTGTATAATACGTTTTCTATCAATCGCAATCTTTCATCATGCTGTCTATACTGTAGGTTATACAGTGAGGAAGACCGAAAGCATGTATACAAAGCCTACTACTGTATTATTTTCAATGTAATAATCTTTTTAGTATCTGTCGCAGGGATCCTTCGTTATATGCTACATAGCAAACTCCAGAGTTTTTTAAAGCACAGACATTGAATGACAAGATCTTCATGAGAACTAGAACACTGTTACAAAGAAGCAAATGCCGCTAGTTTTGCTTAGTTATTGATTTTCTGCATCTTAAGAGCATCTCCAAAATCTTTTTCAGCCAAAAGCAGCTGAGCCCTGCCTATCACAGGTGAAAATAGTATTAACTAGCCAAGTCCACACCAGTATCAGACAGCTAGAGGACTCCCTTCGTCTATTAATCCACTTGGCAAAAGGAAAGACATAAAGCCAACTGGATTTTAGTGCATAGCTGAAATGGACTCTGGATTTCCCTTGATATTATGCATACTTACAGAAATAATTATGTAAATCCTTTTCAGCTATATCATCTTTAAATAGAAATCAGATTACATAAAGCAGATTGTAATCTCCTCTGCTCACCCTTTCCAGCTGAAAAAAGCAATCATATAGAGCCAACAAGCATACTTGTTGGCAATTTTAGCCAAAGAAAATGGTTATCTGCTGTATGATCCAGTTCCGCAATTCCAAACCTGATTGCCTCTTGTTAATGCACATTTTGTAGAAACTGCAGCTTCTGGTTTCACTTTGTGTATCATAAGACAAGGGGGTTTTTTTGTTGTGAATCTAGACAATCCTGTGGTTGCTTGCTATGCATATTCATGCTTATTTTGGATACACCACCACCTGATCAGTGTTCATTAATAATGAGAAATGCTTTAAATCACCTCATTTAAAACATTTTGCTCTGTGATCCACAAATGACTAATATTTGAAGTTGGCAAAATATAAATGATGTTCATGTGCAGTGCAAATGAAAGATTAAAATATGAAACTAACAATATGCAAACATATTCATGCAAATGCTGAGGATCTATTAGCTGAAACAGTGATTTCACACCTTTCTTATTTTCTGTAAGTACTCTCCAATTGTATTTTTGTTTTGTTTTGTCAGAGTACGTGTTCATGGATCTGGAATAAGCACCCATGTTTTAAACATTCTTTGCTCTACTTTGACTTTGTTATAGTTATCCCTGATTTTAATTTTTTTCTACAAAAGTATCAGGAGTAGTTTTCTACACTGAGCTTCAGAGAAAGGAAATGTAATGTTTAGCATGCAATTTGCTAATAGCTATGCATGTTTTATGTAGACCTTTTAAACGCTTTTTGGATAATTGTGCTTCATATGATGCTCCAAATAAAAGGTACATTTTGGCACTGTTTCTTCAAATCTCTTTTAAAAATACTGAACTCGAAGAAGGAAATGATGTGTATAAGACAGAAAAAGAGAAAGAATGAAAGTATATTATTAGACAGAAGAAACTGGCTGCAGTTGACAAGAGTGTTGGCAATGGACAAAATCTGCAACCCTCCAAGAACAAAAATAGCCAAGCCCAAATTGCAACACTATCTTCAAACAGACTTATACTTTCTCCAATAATTGCCACTCATTTCTTTGTGAAAATACAGTGTTGAATTTATGAACTACATTGCATGGAGACAAAACCTGCTTCTGTCCCTGAGTCTGAGCGGTATAGCTTCTCTTAAGAGGACCTGGGGACCCTAGGCACACATGTTGTGGGACTCGTGTGAACATACTTACACATACTATATAACAACCTGCCCCTGGATTTCCACTCTTTCTCATCTTCTAGCATGACCACAAACTGGATCCCAGGGCAAGGCTTTATGGATGAAGCTAGCATATGGTTATCCGTTCCTTCCACTGGATTCTCTGGAACAAAGGGCAGAATACAAAGAACCCACAAGCAGTTCTCCAAGTCCATGGATGCTTTGGGCTTGTGGCAAACTACTTTTCAAACAGAAGATTCTCTCATGGGCAGGTTGTGACTTGATGCAATGGTCAAAGCCTTTGGGCACACCTGAAGTCTGTATCCAGGCCAAATAGACAGCCTACACCTTGTAAAGATTTTTAAGCAATGGCAAAACCTGTTTGCCCAAAGAAACTGGGGTTACCAGAAGCAGGAGAATAGTCACAGTTCAGTCCTAAACAGAGATACCCCTCTAAATCCATTGAGGTCAGTGGATTTAGAAGGGCATAACTGTTTAATATTCCACTGTCAGTTTCCTACACTGTTTTATTTATCTGTTAGAAGTGAATTGCTGCATTCTGTCTAATGCAGTAATAATGTTGTCCAGTTGGAGTAGAACAGACTCTCTCCATTCTTTCCATCATCAGCACCACTACCAGATGTCCATCATAATGATGGGCACTTTGTTCATTTTATGCTAAAAATACCTTAGTAGCCACTTAAATATTTTATGTATTTATTTATTTAATTCAATTTATACCCCGCCCTCCCCGCAATGCGGGCTCAGGGCGGCTTAAAAGTGGCAAACGCCAATATAAAACAACTTTAAAAACATTTATAAATCCCACAGTAAAAAAGCATTCATAACAATCAAAGACTAGAGCGCTCTAGATGTTCAACATAATATCAGATGGCATTTTTTATAACTGTTCAGCCTCATCTGCTCCAGGGACTGATGTTCACCTCATCCAGGGCCAGGTAGAGATGGAATAGTGGTGATGTTAGTGGCGGCTACTCCTCATACGCCTGGTGGAAGAGCTCCGTCTTACAGGCCCTGCGGAACTGCATAAGGTCCCGCAGGGCCCGGATCTCCTCCGGGAGCTCATTCCACCAGGTAGGAGCCACCACCGAGAAAGCCCTGGCCCTGGTAGCGGCCAGCCTGGCCTCTTTGGGACCTGGCATTGCCAGGAGGTGTTGGGTCCCAGACCGAAGTGCTCGAAGGGGAACATATGAGGAAAGGTGGTCCCTTAAGTAAGCTGGACCCAGACCATATAGGGCTTTAAAGGTAAGAACCAGCACTTTGAAACGAATCCGGTACGCTATTGGCAGCCAGTGCAGCGCTTTCAGCACAGGCTGGATGTGGTCCCTTCTAGGAAGACCCGTCAACAGCCTGGCCGCAGCATTCTGCACTAGCTGCAGCTTCCGGATTTGCGACAAAGGCAGCCCCATGTAGAGAGCGTTGCAGTAGTCTAGCCTCGAGGTGACCGTCGCATGGATCACTGTGGCCAAGTCATATATAATGTTAGCATGAAAATGATAGTTTAAGATCAGATTTAAACTGAATTCTCTTTTTTTTCCTTTCATTTTAGCGGTACAGTGTTGAAATGTCAATCAGACTCCCCAAAAAGATGGAATTGCTGAGTAAGGTTGAAGCATTGAAGAGAAGCAGTGTTTTACTACCCAACGATCTCCTTGAAAAAGTAGATTCAATTAATGAAAAATGGGAGCTACTTGGGGTATTTGCATTTTTATTACTGTCTCTGTGTTATGTGTACAGTTTTTGTGTCTTGAAGTATGCTGTCTGTCTGATTTCTAATTTGAAGCACAAATATCTGCTTCATACAATTCAGTACATACATTTCAAACAAGCCACTCTTGCTATTACAAAACACACACAAAAAAACCTGTAATATTTTCCTTGTCTGTTTTTTCCCCTATTCCCTGCTTGCCTCTTGTCTGACTTTAATAATTTTAGTTTAATACAGAAAAAGTAAGTAAAATGTGCTGTGTATTATGGGTATGCACCAAGTCAAATATAATACAGTATATCTGATATACACTGACTGTCATGCTTGAGTGAATGGTAATAGAATTTATTCTGAAGGTACATGTTAGAGACATCTACTCTTTAACTATTTACTATACTCTTAAGATGAAAAGTGGGGATGTCACTGTATATTTCAGGTCACACTGATGGCACAAAAACCAATATGCAAATGTAGTACCAATCTGAAGTCCTGAGTCTGAGGATACTGTAGGATATATTTCATGTGCCTCTATTCAGCTTATATTTGACAAAAGCAAAACAAAAGTTTCATATAATTCATTTCACACTGCAATGGGTTGGTCTCAGCCAAACAGTAAGACACAAAAATCTGGCTAAAGATATAATATAGTGATCCTATTACCCTGACACCAATGATGGCATGATGCAGGAAACACTATTGTTGATTCTGCAAGAGTAAGATAATATATGTACTCTCTTCTTTCATTCAAATAAAGGATAGGATAAGTTTATCAACTACTTAAATTATAAATCAGGGATGAGTAGTATTTGTAATAGATGGTATGTAATTTTGCTTGCCTTTTCAATGTAGTCTTAAAAACAATGAAGCAATCCCATCTCTGATTCCATCTTTTCCTCACCCATATTGAAAGCTTCAGTCACAGACATATATTTGGGGCCTAATTGCACACACTGGAAGGGAATGTATTGGAGACTTTTTAAGCATTGCAAAAATATATATATTGAGAAAAAATTCTACAGAGTTTCCTAGCTTTTTATCCTATTTTTCCTCTAAGGGGATTTTTTAACAAATAAAAAGGTGATTTAAAAGATCAACTATTTCTGCTTATGCAGGTATGGGCACAGTCTTTACCAAACTAATAAGAAGTATTTAAACACAGTTTCCTGAATATTTTAATTGGCAATATACTAATTGGCAAGTTTTTTCCTATTTCCATATTGTATGTTACAACTGATTATGATTATATGTTACAACAATACATTACTTTTTAATGTCTGGTTTTTTAAAAAACAGTTAAACAATATTTATACAGCTTCTTTAAAAGAAACTCTACAGAACTATGGTTTTAGATAATGACAAAGAATTACAGTAGTCTGTGCTTTCATTGCCAGGTTCTTATTGTCACCATCTAATGATGAGTCTTTGATATCTTGATTAAGCAAGGGCAACTCATTCACAGAAGCAGACTTATGCATGTGCTTTCTCTATGAGATGTGCACTCAAAAGAATTCTGTGCATGGACCTGAGCTGGTCTGCAGCTCAAACTTGGGGTTCTGTCTGTATCAAAGACATGCAGTGCTAAGTGGGTGATCGGTGCTATTGCATTTGACAGTGTTGATCACCTGCTGTAGGTAAAGACTGTGGCCAAGCTCCAAATAAATACTTTAGGGACACTTAGGCCCCGGTCACAAAGAGGATTTGCCGCTGGAGAGGCACGAATGTCGGGCGGAGTATACGGGCACGATCACAAGGACACATCTGGCAAGCGTAGCACACCCATCGCCAACCTGTAGCACCTGTCCAAAGATCCGGAGTTAAAAAATACCCAGGAAAGCCTAATACCAAACGGTTTGCTATGGACCATCGATGGAATACCTACGTGTGATCGCTTGAGCGCGCTCCTCTCGCCATGTTGACACGCACCGGAAACACACACCAACAAACAAAACCCCAATTTGCCGCCGCTGCATCTGATCATATTCTGGTGCATTAAACTGCGCCGGCACGAAAAGCCACACTTCCCCCCGTGTTATCTGGCCAATGTGACCGGGGCCTTAGTTGCGTTTTTTTTCTTACTTTTTCTCTACACAGCCAGTCCTTCACACATAGCATATCTCAGTCTGCCAGCAAAAGGTCCCTCCATTTCAAAAGTAGTTTGCCATCAGACATGGCAAGTTGGCTGCCTGAAAAACTGATAATCCAAGTTTCTTGGACATAAAAAGCTAGCTGTGCATGTTTGGGGATCCCTGGCTTACTTGAACTTACTTCAAACACAAGGCTAAACTTGTGGTTACTCTTGGCTGGGTATATTATCAGTCAGAAGAAAAACTAATCAACATTTCTTTATTGGTGGGGGTGGAGAGTACCATCAAATCACACCCGACTGATGGTGACCCTGTAGGGTATTCGAGACAAGAGATATTCACAGGTGGTTTGCCATTGCCTGCCTCTGCATACTGACCCTGGACTTCCTTTGTGGTCTCCCATCCAAACAGAAACCAGGGCTGACTCTACTTAGCTTCTGAGGTCTGACAAGTACAGGCTAGCCTGGGCCATCCATGTCATGGCTTTCTTTAGTAATATAATCAAATTCAAAAATATAAATAAAACAGTACCCTCTCATTTAAAATGAATTCTCAAGGCCTTTTCATAAGTTAAGATCGAGATGAAAGTGTATATCACTTTTTCATATTCATTTCTGCATTTATAAAAAAGTTGATGTTTTCTCTTAAATGAAATATCATGTATAATAAGCAGTTTTGATTGAGTTTCATTTAGTTTAATAAAAAAATCTTAGCAGAAACCAACAACACTAGGCATACTGTTTTAATTGGCATGATTACATTTTAATTGGCATGGAAAAAAATTAAAGACAAGGATTTTAACTTCTAACAATGGTAAAATAGAGAGATATGGTTTTTAATATTACTTTCATCTAAGGTGAACAGTGTGGAATGGAAATACATTAGAATGAAATGTCAGTGGTGCGTACAGTTTAATCTGTGAAATTTTGTCCCCTGTGCTGAATATTACTCTGTCTCAATTGCATATTAAACAACCCTATCAAGGCAGGCATTGGCATCTGCTGTGCTGACACAAATTGTGAATTAAATGAAATTGATGTCCTCTGTCGTATATTTATGAAGACGGACCATTCTCTGAAGTATTCTGTTTATGAAGAATTTATGATTGCAAACTGTTCCAGAACAAAAAAAAAGTGGCAATAAATTCTTTTTTGTGACCCTACCCTCCAAGGGCATTGATTTCACCTCCTGCTGCTACTTTTGTTACAGCATAAAAACAATAGCTAAAGCTGGATTCCACTGAGAGCTTTCAAATTATCAATATTTGAGCCATCAAAATAAAAGGGTGTTGCCAAGAATATAGTTGCTTTTTCTATTATGATCTCCCAAACACACTGTTTGTGGAATGCTTTAGAACAGCTGAATATCTGCTGATTTAATTCAGTGTGTGTTTCAAAGCTTATTATTAGACTGTAATTCTCAAAGCATTTAGTCCACAATTGTCCACAGACTTGAATGGGGCTAACCCTAAGCTACCCTTCCTTTAAATATTCATTTTTCAGTGCAGCCCATGAAGGACTCAGCTTCTCCAAATTAGCTTCCAGTAACGTTATCAAACATAGGTCCAGTTCCTAAGTGATTACCTGTATATCTGTGGTCTCACTCTCTGCTTCAGTAGGCAAGAACCGTTAACAAGACTGTGCCATTAAAACCCTAGGTTTTTACTGTCACAATAGGTGGTAGATTGATCTCAATGAAAAAAAATATGACTAAACCCAGCCACTGACAACCAATAAAAATTGCATAGTCTCCACTTTGCAAAGGTTTCCTATCTAAAATGCAAAGATTTCCTATCTAACATGATTGGCATGTTGAAGTCCTTAAAAACTCACACTTGGTTAGCTTTGACTCTAGTTGAATGATAGCAGCTTTTTAACTGACTAGTCTTTTAGTTCAGCGGTTTCAATTCATCTGTAAACCAGGGGGGCAGTGGTTGCAGAATACTGAGAGAGAACACCTGAGATCCACCATCTAAGGACCAAACTACACAATACACCAGACATCTGTTGGGTCATGGGTGTGCAACCTAAGTTGTAGTCAGATGTACACGCTGCAAGGGGGCAAAAGAACTCCTTGTTTCCCTCCCACCCTGTTTTTGCCAATGGAAAAGATAGGAGGGTTTTTTGCCCCTTTTCTCCGGCTCCATATATCTTAGGAAAGATACATGGAGCCAAAGAAAAGGGCCCAAAGCCCCCACTGCCAGCCTTTACACTGGCAAAAGTGGTGTGTGATGGACACTGGAAATCCTTCTCCCCCTTCACAGTGCTCCATTAGAGCATCAAGCAAACAAGCATTTTTTAAGGTGAGTTCCACAAGGTATGTGACTGTGGGTCCACAGTTTAGTCTCATGACCAAGCATGTGTTGGACTAATCACATAGCTAGGCTTTCAGCCTTTCACCATGATCTGCAATTGACAATAGCTATTGATTCCAATGAAATTTACTTCTAAGCATGCAGTGCAGTAAGGTATGTGGTTAAATGTTAGCCCAGTTTCCCTCTTCTCCACTTCTAATTGCCCTCAGGAAGATCCCTATGCAATCAAGTGCTTAACTCTTCTGCCTACTTACTGCTTTCTCCCAGAAACTATACCTCCTTTTTCCTTCACCAGTGTTCCAAACCCATGTTTGCATCCAGAACATGAGTCTAGAATCCCAAAGAAGCAGAGAGTGCCGTTTCTGAGGAAAACAGCTCTCATACACAAACACCTGTTCTATCTCTCTTCGGCAAGTACTGCCTCACAAGAGCACAATGGAGAAGGGGCCAATAGACTAACATTACCCCAGGTGTAATGTAATATGTAGATTGGCCATAGATCCATTTGATTGGTCAGTTGAAGTGGCAGTAGAGTAATCATCAAGATCCATATGACATACAAAAGTACTTTCCAATGAATTTTCACAGACCAAGAACCTGGGTATGGCCAGGGTGCACAGAAGGTGGCCAAAACTCAATTACTTGAGAAATCAGATAAGCTGGTGTTACATCCACTAGGTGAACCTGCCCTTCTGAACATAATTATTTGCTTGTATCTACCATTGCTCATAATCCCTGTAACATTGTAATTGACAACTCACAATGAGATTTTAAGCCACTTTGAAGAGAAAAGTGGTGGACAAATACCTTTATAAATAAATAAGTAAATAAAATCATATCCACCTGCAGTGTAGTTTGGCCCTACAGCTCCTTTGGACACCAAACTATTGTGTTATCTGATTGCTTCAGTCTTATTGCAGGTATCTCAGTTCTAAACATGTAAACAAACATGCAAATACACCATAACCTTTTAAAATTTATGTATTGTCAACTGTTATGTTGCTTTCAAATAAATACCTTCAAAGTAATTGTTTAAATATGATACAATAAATGTATTAAATCTATTTTAAGATGTAGTTACTAAATATACTATAGTATGAATTTTAACGTCATCTTTTATTTTCATCTTTTTGCCCTAACATACTAAAATTCTAGTAAACGGAGGTTATTATTCATTGAACCAATGATAATTCTGCATGGTTTTATGTGTCTTGTTTATATGGGATATTAAGTAAACAAAAATAAGGATTTAACATAGCCAATAGATTATTTGTCATTATCATAATTGAGAATGTAAGGGAAGGTACCAACAACCATTTTACCACTTGGCATGCAAAGTTCTTACCGTTTGGTAGGATGATATTGTTGACTCCTTTCTCACTTCAGAATACTTCAATTATCTGTATGGGATCAGACTTAATGGCTTAGCAAGCGACTGTATGCAAGTTAGCTCTTAATGGCTGTCTACCCAGAGCAAGGTACCAGCAGTATAATCCTATCCAGAGTCACTCCAGTCTAAACCCACTGGAGTTAATGGGTATAGACTGGAATAATTCTGCATAGAATTGCACTGTAAACTACCTAAATAAGGAATTGAAATAACTGATGTTATTACTATCTAGATAAAGGTAGTGCTGGTCAGCTATCTAATGCACATTCTTTGGAACATAAGACTAATCTATGGTTTCTTTCTCTGTTGCATTAGAAAACCCTAGGAGAGAAGATCCAAGACACAATGGTGGGGCACAGTGGGTTAGGTCCACGTGACCTGCTCTCTCCTGAAAGCGGCAGCCTGGTAAGGCAGCTGGAGGCCAGGATCAAAGAGCTGAAAGGGTGGCTGAGAGATACCGAGCTTTTTATCTTCAATTCCTGTCTGAGGCAAGAAAGTGAAGGAACAATGAATGCTGAGAAACAACTGCAATACTTTAAGGTAATAAAAAAGCCCACAGCATCGATGCAAGTGTTGCTCTTTAGAGTAAAATAAAATATAAAGTATTTGTGTTAGTCCCCTATCCTTGCATATATAACCCTGTTTGTATATACTTTTTGTATGTTTCTACAGATAAGCTGTTTTGTAAAAATAATGTTAGTTTTAAGGATAATTCTTTCTGTACATGAAAACTGCAAGGATCAAAATTGTTTCAGCCTGATATTTTAATTCCTTAAAGCAGTACATACAGTCTAACTGTGGCTGCGATCACACGTAACAGAAGCCACACAAGTGAGACGGAAAACAGCCGGAGTTTCCGGGCGTGATCTCACCAGCACATCTGGGAAGCGTAGCACTCCTGTGGCTCAACCGAGGCTTCCAGCCGAAACTGCGTGGCAAAAAACTAGTACCTTGGAGGTACTAGTTTCCGGAAACTGCGGGGCAAGGGCGGGTGTCTGATCGCGTTTCCAGTGGCATCCGGCGCCCGCCCATGTCCCCTTGCAAATAAGGTGTGTGTTTTTTTGTCCAAGTCTCTGTGGATGCGCATGCGCACCCAACGGAGCATGCGCATTTGTCATGTACACAAAAATAAAAAACAGTTTGCCGCGGCATGCGCTTCTTCGTTGTGTGCCGGCTTGTCCTGTGATCAGCACCTCTCCCTTGCCATGGAACCTCCACGGTACCTCCACAGGACCTCCACAGGAGGTCTGATCACGTAACTGCGCAGTAGTTTGCCCCAGGGCAAACAGCCACGCTTCTCCTCTGCAGTTTCCTGCCCGTGTGACCGGGGCCTTAGTTGCTTTTAAAGACAACTAATGGTGACCCAGGAGCATAGTCATCAAGTTACCTGGCCACAGCAGTTACCTAGCTACCATGCCAAAGGCTACTAGTCTGCACATGCAGAACTGCATACTAGCAGATCTTTCAGTCAAAAGATAACCTCAATTCAGCAAAAGTATGGTATTTCAAAATGCCAACTGGGATTTTTGCAAAGTTGTGAGCATCCCTGATTCTGAGCGTTATTGAGATGCCTTCTTACCTGTTATGTTTTCTGAGCAACAGCTAATATGCTGGCATACATTCTATTGTAGTTGTAGCTCTTCATATTGATTACAATCAGTGCCTTGATTCCAAGGTTTATAACTGAGGTGGATGTATACCACTTGGTCTTCTTCAGAGAACCCTGACCATACATGCACTTGTTTGGGATGAAGGTCTTGTTGTTGCCAATGTTATTTTGGTACACTCAACAACAGATATTTTGAGGGAGAAAACATATATTGCATAACATAAATTCCTTTCCCCATTTCCATATTCCTAACTTGTCAAAGCTTATTGCTGAATGTTTATTTTTTTATCTATGTTGGGGCTTGAAGTGGGAGGATGGGGTACATGGAAGCAGAAGTGCCTTGACTATTCTGTCTCTTTGCTGTTTAGTCACATCTGGAATGGAACTTTAGCATGAATGTTTCCATAATTTGAAAGCTTCAGAAAGAAGCTTGGGGTAAAGGGTTAGGGACTGTAGACTATAACACTGCATGTAGTTCACACTATCTGTTGCTGTAGGTAGGTTCCTACTATGTAATTTTGCATAGTTTAATGTGTCACATTAACACTTATGCTTTGCTTCCCCATTGTTTCTGATCTGTGGCTAGCTCTAGACTTCTACAAGTCAAATCCTGTTGTATTGTCTATTGGATGTTCCATTCTGCTGATTTTATTGACTTATTCTGGGTAATCCACCATGAGTTCCAGTGAAAAAGGTGGACTATATATAACATATAATTTTCCAAAGGGACATAATTGAGAAACACAGAAATTGAAAGCCTGAAATATTTCTTGTTCTCCCCCCCCCCCCACATTTCCATCATATACAAAGCTGCTCTTAATTGTCTTAGCCAGTGCTCTGCTAAAAGCTTTCCTGGAAGGGGATATAGCTTGCTGCCCTTCCCCATTGGCTGGAATATTTCCAGTTGCAACCAATGTTGCCCCATGTCTCATTTGAAAGAAAAGGCAAGGACAATGAAATTCATGTCTGCTAATGCCAAAAAATCAACTTCTATGGAATGCAATGCCACTAGCTTAGATAAGAGTTTCTAATTCATCGTTTTTAAGCCTCTCCCACCCTTAAGCCCCCACCTTCTTCCCTGGCCCTAAACAGATAGGGGGAGGAGAACAAGAAAGAGAAAAATCAAATACATCAATATTTTTTAAAGGATTAGTAAATTTCACTCAAACTTCCCACAGCTTACAGTAGACTCTTCATCACATCTGATAAAGCAATTCTTATGCTCTTAAGTGCCCATGTTGCTTTTAACAGCCTGTGATGAATACATTGGTGAGATAACTTACATAACATTTGGAATAATTCTTTGACAATCTTCTCAGATTAGATAAAAATGAAAATTTCTCCTAACAAATATGTTTAATTCATACAAATTGTTTCTGAGACCTAAGAGTGCTCAAAGCATAATTGACATTAGTGGAATACTTGTTACAGTTGAAAATTAAGATTTCCTTTGAAGTATCTATCAGAGTATCTGGAAACCTAACTTCAGATTCCATGTTTTTATCTCAAGTAGCATAGTTGAAAAGTTGCCAACTTTCAAACAGATTATATGCAGAAAGCTATAAGTGGTATTGAACAACAAGAACAATTAGAAAATGCTGCAGTGGAAATATGGGCTTTAAGCTGTCTTTCATATTGAGAAAAATGGCAGGTATCAACAGATCCCTTTATTTATTTTTTAAAAAAATCACTCACACACACACACCTATTACATAAAGATCAGGAAGGCTTACAATGAATCAATAAGGTCGGCTACAAAAAAATAATACTCCAAACCATTTCAGAATAAAGCCATCAATGGAAAGCCCTCAAAAACAAAATAGCTGGGAGAGGTAGGGTCTTCTCAATTAGTTCTGAAAGCATATGCCATGGGAGGAAGCAACAAAGGAAAACAATCTAGAGCAAGCAGTCAAAGAATGAGCCAAGTGAAATAAAGGTATTCCAAGGAGGTATCATTGGGTCAAAATGTGATTCCAAGTACTACTTTCTGCCATATAAACCTGTTTACCTAGTTATGGTAATCCATGTCTGCACTGGCATTTCATCAACTAATGTATAATGAAAAAAGTAGCATGAATCACACTGTTGAAGTGAACCAAATGAAGGTTCCTATCCCTAAACCCCTTCTTCTGTCAAGAATCTGTAGGGGCAACAGAGAGAAGGTGGAAAAAGCATGATCATCATCTCTTCAGCACTTTTGTGCCCATTTAGGTGCATATTAATGACAATTTATAGATAATAGATAAGCATCACTATGGTATGTATAATAGTTCTTGACCAAGCAGAAGCACTAGAATTCTTTCTCCCTCTCTGTTTGCACTGTGCAAGTGATTATATCTCTGCTATCTTTTCCATGTGCACAAGAAATAGAGCAAGGTATTTCTTAAAATGAAATTTCATAAACAAATTAAATAAAATCATCTAAACCATCTGTTGTACATTTCATGTGCCACATGCATATAGTTATTTTTTAAAAGAAATTATTAAAGCATGTGTGTTGCTGCAATGCTTAAACAAATCAAGCTACACTGGTTTTTTGGGATACAAGCTAGGAGAGGGACAAATGTGGGGCAACTGTCAAGCCCAGGGGTCATTTCCTGCAGGAGCGCACAGAAGTGGAGCTCCGGCAGTAAAGAGCCCAGGGGGCAGGCACATGCAACAAGCCCCACCCCCTGCTCCCAGCAGCCCTCAGTCAGAGCAAGAAGCAGCCAGGTAAGTTCTTAATGCATGCAAATGTGGATAACATGGGTCCCGTTCATACGAGCCCATTTGGGACGGGAGCAGGACGGAACAGGGGCGGAGCAAACGGACGCGATCCCACCTCAACATCTGGGGAGCGTGCCGTCTCCGTCCCTGATCCGGCCCAAATGGCGATACCCCGCTGCAAAAACGAACCACCTATCTAGGTGGTTGCAGCCGTCTGGAGCGCCCCAAGCCGGCCGTGGGATCGGCGGCGCGTCCTTGCGCCGCCGCATCCCAGCCCCCGGGCGTACTGCGCATGCTCGGGCATGCACAGTTCGGCAGCCTCCCCCTCCCATCGGGCTCGTCCTCCCCGGCGTCTGCTCTTGCCGGGGAGAAGAGGCACTGCGGCCAGGGGATCCGTGGGATCCCGCCGCAGCGTCTCAATGTTGGAGCGGCTCTATTAGCCGCGCTTTTGCCTCGTGGTTTCCCTGCCGTGTGGCAGGGGCCTAAGTTATGCTAATTAGCTCCTGCATCTCTTTTTCTACGAAATGACACCTGGTCAAGCCATATCCAAAGGAAATCCTTTCCCTGAACAATTAGATATCTTCCCCATCATAAATATTGGTTCTGTGATTCTGTCACTCTTTCAGTTTTTAAGAACTGAGGAATATACCACAGTTTCTATACAGGACAAGTAATATTAACCTCCATAGAACAAGGACTAACATCAAGGGAATAAACTAGGCTACTGATCATCTGTTAGTGTCCAGGTGCAGGAAGGACCTAGGAAAAGAAGCAACAAACATAGTCTAAACAGAGTACAGGTATTCAGAAGTCCAAAAGAGCAAATACAAAGACAACAAGCCAGGTCACACTCTAGAAGTTCAAACACATCAAGGTCCACACCACCAGCGAGCACATAAAAGTTGTAACCAATTTGCTTGCACACTGGCTCACCCTGTTCTGGCTGCTTTTATCAGGAAAACCATAGACAGGTGCAACTCATCAATGGCTGAGCAGTCTCCATCACTGTCAGCCCTGATACTGTGGTGACTGAAACTCATAGGCAGAGGTTGACTGATGCTGGGCTGCCAACTGTGCACTAGGGCACTGGTCCTGCGCCTCGCTCCAGGCATGCCTTCTCCGGCATTCCAAGGGCTCTGGTGACCCCAGGGGTGAGTCTGGTGGCTACAGGGCTTCTGTTTCAGCTTTGGATCCCAGGCTGCAGGATTGAGGGCATGGTGCACTG